TTTTAAATTTTTTTTTTTTAATTTTGTGTGTGCTGACAATAGTCGTGTCCCGTCTCCCGTGGTGCAAAACCTTGACTCTACTGGTGTGTCTGGCCAAGTGTCGCTTCAGAATTCAGTAAAATAAGGAGGGGGGGAGTGGGGGGTCTTGCAAAAAATAATTATAATACAACACACAAAAATCTATTTTTTGTAAATCTTGTTTGTACCGTTATAATTTAAATATTTTATCTACTGCTACGGTCTTCACTGTGCAGTCAATTTTATTGAAGCCACTGCACTGTGACGGCCCAACACTGTGACACACCTACACTGTGACGCTCCTACACTGTTACGCCCTTGCACTGTGACGCTCCTACACTGTGACGCCCCTACACTGTGACGCGACTACTTTGTGACGCCCTTAAACTGTGACGCCTCTACACTGTGACGCCCTTACATTGTGACGCCCCTACACTGTGACATCATCACAGCTACGGTGCATTCAAAAAACAACAACACAAATACAATTCATTCAGTAGATGTTAGCAGCTAACTAAAATTTGACAATTTCTTTTCATTAAAAAAAATGCTTTGTATAGTCTATATTTTGTTAGCGTCTTGTGTTTTTGCCATCTTGTTGTTGTTTAATTTTTTTTCTGCCTAAACTTTAACGTCGGTAGCTTCCACGGACGTGCTACTTTTCATTCTGAGAAAGGCGGCCTACATAATGTAATGGCAAACATATCATTCTTTTGAAAATTAAAAAAAAAGTAAAGAAAAAAAGAAGAAAAATAAATAAATAAGTCCCAATTGCTTTTTTGTTAAAAAAATATATTTGGACTTATAAATAAATAAGGATCAAATAAAAAAAATAAAGTCACAATTCTTTTTTCTTAAATGATTATGCTTTAATTATGAAATAATAATTATGTAAGATAAGCATTTATGAAACCTATCAGTTCAAAAATATTGAAAAGTTAATAACGGCCAATACCCGCACACTTTTAACTTCTAATTCTCTCACAACCAGCTCCTCGATGTCCAGACATAATCCTGGTTGGGGTCGCCACTGATGCCATCAGAGTAATCACGGTACTAACAACGTGGGGAGCCCGGAATGTTTTAATCTCGTGTGGTTGGGGGCGGTGGTGTAGATGGGGCTGGTGCCACCTCGGGGTGATCCAAGAATTTCCCCCCCACCCCCCAACCAAGAAAAAAGTCTGCAGTTGGCCGAAAATGCAGCGCCCCCCCCCCC